TGAGAAAGTCAGTGAGGGATAGATTTACTCGTCAAGTTGACGGCCATAAACTTGTGCTGCAGAGAGAGGTAACGTTCGTAGGCGTTAGAAAGCCAATCTCCTTGAAGCTTAATATAGTGCCCAGGGACCCCACAGTGCAGCGCAAAGGTGGCTCCTCCGCGACGAAAAGAGTGGTCAGAATACAGGGTTCCGTCAAATCCGCATTGCTGGAGCAACTTTCTGAGTTTTGTAGTAAATGTAGTGTAAGTTAGTGGTTTAACATGGCCCCCGGATGTGTACATAAAAGCAGGACTCTCTCGAAGCAAAGCAGAGTCATGTGCGCCTACCAATTTAAAGGCATTTACAATTGCTTTATGTGGGCAGAGTTTAGAGTGTTCTATCCTCGGAACAGGTACCAACAGGGTGTGATTACGATACTGGATTGTTTTTGACCAGCGCACTAAGAGCAGCAGGCCCCAGTTGTAAACGCGAATATCGCACATGCGCAAGTGCTTTAGGGGATCAAATGAGCTGGCCGACGGGATGAGGAGATTAGACTTGCGAAAGAAAGAGAAAAAGGCGATGACGCACGCAGCCCAAAATGTCGCGTCGAACGAGTTAGTGAGGACAAGCTCTCCATGGAGTTTATGTAAAATGTCTGGGGTGATAGGGAGCTTTTGCCGAACAACGTTGCCATGGAGACGCTTGATGCCCCGCATGAAGAGGTCTTTCTAAAATTTAAACAGCGGGTCTTGCAGGGGGTTTGGAAATCCACACTGTAGGTGCAAGATGCGTACGACATTCAAATAACATGCGATGCTAGAGGCAGCGAGAGTACGTGCTAGGAAGACCACATAGCGTAATAAGTTATGAGAAGAGCATGGCACTGGTCTGTAACCAAAGTAAAGGCAAAACCGAAAATAGGCTCGTAGTTGTGATTTGTAAGTAGCTGCGGTGGACAGCGCGAAAGCCTGTCCGCGTTATTTCCTCAGCTCGGCATCAAATTGCTGTTCTTGAGCATGGACTGCACCTGTAGAGGTAATGCATCAAAGGCGTTACGTGACAGATGAGGCGCGGGCGTGACACAAGGCAGGTTGTTCGAGGGGCGGGAAATGAGTTTTTCCACAAGGAGTTTGCAATGCGCAGGATCATGGAGACGAGAAATTGCATCGGCCAAAGTTTTAGCTACTGTGGGGATATATCGTGAAGTGACGCGAAAATTGTATTTCGCTGAGAGCCAGAAAAGTTCGCGTAACCATTGCATCGCAAGCGGATTACGAGAAGTGCCCTTATTTATCGCGCTTAGCGTTGTTGTGTTATCAGTTCGCACAATGGTCCACCTATCGCGTAGTTGATCCTCCCAGCGCTCAAGAGCTAGAAGAACTGTGAACGTTTCTTGCAAGTTGATATGCACGTTCGCCAAACTAGGATAGTTAGTGGCCCAATTAACGTAGAACCAATCACCTTGAAAGAAGCCTCCTCCGCCAATCGGACAGGCGTCAGTAGAGAATTCTGCGGTGGGAACCGGCTCCGAGTCTACGAAAAAGGTTTTTCCATTAAAAACGTCTAGAAATTCTGTCCACCATTTCAGATCTTCTCGCAGTTGAGCGTTAATTCGGACATGATGATGTGGGCGCTGCATGTGGTTAACAGTGTCAATCATGCGTCGTAAGAATGTCCATCCGCCAAATACAACGCGTGCGGCATAGTTTAGCTTGCCAACGAGAGACTGCAAGTCTCGTTTAGTGATAGATCGCTTCACCGTTGTTTCGCTAAGTAACAATCGCAGCTCGCAGAGTTTGCGTTCGGGCAACGTGAGTTGCCTGCGCACAGTATCAATTTCAATTCCTAAAAAGGGTAATCGCTGACAAGGCCCGACAGCCTTGTCCCAGTTAATGTGAAATCCGAGTTCGCCTAAGAGTTTAATCAGTGCTTCGTACGCTTGTTGACACTCGACCTTAGTATCGGCAATAATAAGGAAGTCGTCAAGATAAGCCAAAACCGTAGATCCCCGCCGCTCCATCATTCGCGTGATTGCTTGTGTTAATCTATGAAATATTTCGGGGCTTTTTGCGGCCCCAAATGGAGGCATAGGCTAAAATCTGGACTGGACTCTGGGCTGGATTCTGGACTCTGGACTCTGGACTCTATTTTTACTGTAATCAGTATCGACAAAATTACGAACAACTATGCGCGTCACTATGCTATTGAGTCAATTAATCGACCGGTTTCGTCTTCGAGTGAGACTTCATCAGGATAAACTACAAAATAAACTACTTAATACATTACAGGAACTTATTTTAGGCATAAGCTAAAACCTGGACTGGACTCTCGACTGGACTGGACTCTGGGCTCTGGACTCTGGACTCTGGACTCTGGACTCTGGACCCTGGACTCTGGACTCTAATTTTACTTTTACTGTAATAAGTATCAACAAAATTACGAACAACTATGCGCATCACTATGCGATTAATTGAGTCAATTAAACTACAAAATAAACTACAAAATAAACTACTTAATA